CTGCCAGCCTGGGTTCACATCTCTCTGAGGTTTGCAGCAAACCTGGGTTACTTTTAGGATCCTGGAGAGACTCAGTGGCTGGGGAAGAGCCTACAAACAGGCAGCCTCTCCTGGGTGGTGACTGCGCCTGTGTTTCTGTGTGGAAATGTGTGTTTGTAATGTCATGTTCCCAGGGAGCTCACTGAGATGCCTCCTGCTCCTACTCAACAGCTCCAGCCCCTGCTCCTGCTGAGGTTCTGATGGGAGGGGGCATCAAGATTGCTGCTTGTAAGGCCAGGTGGGTGGCTCACGTCTGTAATCCCAGCACTTTGGGAGCCTAAGGTGGGCAGATCACCTGAGGTCAGGAGTTCAAGACCAGCCTGACCAATATGATGAAACCCTGCCTCTACTAAAAATACAAAAATTAGCTCATCATGGTTCTGTGCACCTGTAATCCCAGCTACTCAGGAGGCTGAGGCAGGAGAATTACCTGAACCTGGGAGGCAGAGGTTGCAGTGAGCTAAGATTGCACACTGCCCTCCAGGCCTGGCCACAGAGCGAGACTCCGTCTCAAAAAAAAAGATTGCTGCTTATAACTGAGGGCTCAAGAGAACATTTGTGACCCTCTAAGCCTGTGGGTGGAGGGGCCTGGTATTAGGGAGAGGATACTGGAAATGTTAATGCAGCTAATCCAATGAGATTAGCCTGCTGAGCTCAGGGATTTGAGAGAACAAAGAGGAGTGCAGGGGCCACTTAGAAGTTTAAACAGACTCCCTCTCCCTTTTCACCTACGTCTTGTGTGAGGATTTCAATAGCTCCTAAATGAGCTTGCCTGAATGGCTGTGACACTCTTTTAAATTCTAATTAGCTAGTGAATTAACCAGGATGAATTTTGATTAGTCAGAATGAATTACAGGTATTAATGATCATAGAGCCTTAGAGCAAATGAAAGTAGCAGTTGTCCAGAGGGGGCTTGGGCCAGCCATCCAGCTGGAGAGACCTTCAGTAGGCTTAGAATGGCTGCGCTCATTTACGCTCCATTCCACTTTCTTGTAAAGCCCGCACTAGTCACAGCACGGACCGGGAACCAGACGCAGATGCCGTGGCTGTCCTTGGTGGGCCTGGAAAGAGAGGAGACCCAAGTTGGCGGCTGGCAAACCTCCAGCTGTGGCCCACGGGGTTTGCTCCATGGTGGCCTAGGCCATGCAGGCTGTACTGGCTGTGAGATGCCATGGAGCCAGAGGCTGCGACTGTAGCTGTTTGTGCTGTGGCCAGCCTTTACCCAGTTCCTGACTGTGCTGTTTGTTTGAATTGCAGTGTGTACTTATGGGGAACTCCTGGCAGCGTGCTGGCTCATGCATCTCTTCCCATGCCAGTCATAGGGTCCCTGTTCCTGTTTGGCCAAGGAAGGGTTTTCCTAAGTGTGTACATATTTCTTTGGTTTTTCCATGTTTTGAATGGCCTTGCACAGAGAAACTCATTGCACGTTATGTAAATAACTAGGCCAGCCTTCTGAAAGACCCGACCCCAGACCCACTTCAGTGATGGAGATGGGCATCCTACTCCTATTCAACAGCCCCAGCCCCTGCTCCTGCTGAGGAGGGTGCTTTGAAAGAGTCACACATTCACCTTCCAACAGAGCAGCGTGAGGCTTCCTCAGTTTCGCAGGGTCCACTTTCAGAATGCTCAGCCCCTGATCCAGCAGGAGCTGTGAACCTGCAGGCCCAGGGCCCCGGTGTCCTTGCCAGTCAGTGGCAGGGAAGCAGAAGTGGCCTTTCACACCGCCTCCCCCACACATGCTCACACCCCTCCCTGGGCCCTTTCTCGGCTCTCCCATGGCCATCCTGTGGGTTCTTTGGCCTGAGAGGTGCTGATTCAGCTTTCCTTGGCCTTGAGGCGCTCCAAGACAGCATCAACACCTGGGCTGGAGGTCCCTGCTGCCCTGTGCGTCCTCAGAGTGTGGCTGTAGTGTGCTTGTGTACATGCGTGTGCTCGTATTCATGTGTGTGTATGTGTGTGCTTGTATGCACATGTGCATGTAGGTGTGTGCTATGCATGTGTGCATATATGTGTGTGCATGTGTGTGCTTCTGTGCACATGTGTATGTGTGTACATGTGCATGTGCTTGTGTGTGTATGCATGTGCGTGTGTGTGTATGTATCTGCATGTGTGTGTTTGTGTGCATGTGTGTGTATGCATGTGCACCATTGTTTTCTAATGGGCTGTGAAGGCATCTGGCCTCCTCATAGACCAGGAACTTAGTGATCAGGGACTTATCTGTTTACTTTGGTATTCCAGGTGCCCCCCAGAGCTCCTAGCACATAGTCAGTCTTCAATGACTGCCAGATGAGTGGTCTAAATGAGATAGCAGCTTTGGAGGAATGACGATGGATTGTGGTCTAGTCTTACAATTTTTGCGTAAGAAAGAATTGGCCCTACCCTACTTGAGTCAGGCTTTTTTTTTTTTTTTTTTTTTTTTGAGAGAGAGTTTTGCTCTTGTTGCCTAGGCTAGACAATCTCGGCTCACTGCAATCTCTGCCACCCGGGTTCAAGCAACTCTCCTGCCTCAGCCTCCCCAGTAGCTGGGATTACAGGCGTGCACCACCACGCCCGGCTAATTTTCTATTTTTAGTAGGGACGAGGTTTCTCCATGTTGGTCAGGCTTGTCTCAAACTCCTGAGTTCAGGTGATTAGGCTGCCTCAGCCTCCCAAAGTGCTGGGATTATAGGCGTGAGCCACTACCCCTGGCCCAGGTGGGCTTTATTTGTGTCTGTAGGACACCTCACATGGCACCGCATAGGGTGCTGGTTTATAAAGACCCAAACTACTGTAGAGTTCCACACTGGCCCTGGAGCCTGCTCTTCGCTTTCACTGTGTGTGTACATGTGGAAGTTCATTCCGGAGGCTTCCAACGTGGCTCCCAGGTGCTGCAGCAGGTCTCCTGCTCATCATCACTCCGTACACAATGTCTTGATATGCCGAGGACTGAAATGGAGTAGTGATCCTGCCTGGAGGTAGACAGCAAAACCCAGGCTACGTGGGCATCAGCGTGGTGGGACTGAGGGTGTGTCCGAGGGACAGACGCAGGGGCAGAGGAGCGGCAGGTGAAGGCTGGGCCTCCTGCTGAAAACTGCTGTTGTTGGGACTCCAGGGGCAGCTTCCTAGCTCCTTCTTCTGACTGACCACTGACAATGTAGTGTTGACTGTCCCAGCCTCCAGCTGCAGGGTGCTCTGCCTTCATAGCGAATCCTCCTCCGTCCCTGCAGTCCCCTCCCTGACTGAACGTCCTAGATGCTGCTTTCACAGGGATATGCGTGAAATGTGTCCTATGCCATAATTACTCCTGCTGGAGATCAGGATTGCACAGATGACTGTTGTATTATCTCGTGCATCTAATATCTTTTACTGTGATAAAAAAATGTTGTGGGGTTCATGTCTCAGACTCTTAAGTACTGCAGATATCAAACTGGGGCGGGTTTCTCACATGCATCATCATGGCGAGGCTAGTGTCCATTGGGGTGTGGGTCTGCAGGCGCAGGATTTTGCGGCCTGTTTTATGAACACCTGGCTTCCTTCCAGAGTGATGTAAAGCCAGCCACAAACAAATACCACACATCATCTGAAAATAATAGCAAAAGATTGGGGTTCTAGGAGAAAGAGCAAACAATTGAACAGAGCTTCATTAAACCAAGGAAGTGCTTCTGACTTGTTGGCTTACTGGAATCCCTTTGTTTTCACATCTGCAGGAAATTCATTGAAACGATTTTGTTTAGTATTCCAGTATTTCAGGTTTACCCAAGAAGGGAATTTCAAATAACCATACCACCAGTCACCAGTGCTTGATTTGATCATCTGCATTTTCCAGTTAAAGGGTTAAGATTTTAGGAAGCTCCTTGAGGAGGTTGTTTATTTCCTGCTGGTGCTTTGGTTTCAGGCCTGGAGCTGGGCTGGGTGGTTAGTGGATCTGACTAAGGTAAGGCAGGCAAGGGCTTCATGGACTTCACTTTGACATAGAAAAACCACTTTAATGCACTTACTAGTGATGGATTTTTAGAACAATAGTACAGAGGCTGGTAATATTTTACCCTTTAAGATCCTTTGTAGTCTGTATAGTATGTAGAAAAAGAAATAAGAACTAAATGCAAACGTGGTATTTTTTTGCAAGCCATTCTTCATTGTTGTCTTTTTAATTAAAAATGTAAAAAACTAGATTTATGGGGTACAAGTGCACTTTTGTTTTATAGATATATTGCTTTGTGGTGAAGTCTGAGCTTTTAGTGTATCAATGCCTCAATAGGATATGTTGTACCCATTAGGTGTACCGTTTTACTTAACTCTAAGAAAAGTAATTTTGAAGTAGTTTATTTAAATCTTATCCAACAGCTTTGGCCTTTCACATAGCTCTGACCCTAGCTGTCCAACCTGGGTTTCAGCTGTTATACAGTGGGCATGTCCTGTGCTGGCAGGAGCTTTCCTGGTCTGGGTGCTCCTCTCCCTGCCAGCCTGCTCTGCACCTGGCATCTGCTCTGCCCCTGTGCCTTCATTTCCATGTCCCTTGGTTCTGTAGCCACTGAGTGACTTGGGGCTGTTTTTTATGCTGGAAGCACTTAAAGGCATAGTGTCTGACTCCAGTTGATCTTAGTTTTCCAATCAGGCCATGTTTTCTTTGAGAGCATTTTACAGCGTCTTTCCCAGGGAGTAGCCCACGTTTCTGTGGGCAGCATGGTGTGGGAGGCCGGGCCTCTTGGAGGTGAGAGCCAAGGAGCTGAGCTGTCCCAGGTCTCTGCCATTTCCAGTTCTTAACCGTGGGCACATCACTAACTTCTGTAGTGTGATCATTGGAATATCTCTCAATCTACAAGGAGGATTAGTGAAAAAAAATATGGGAACAGCACTTGAAACTATATCAGCGTATACCCACCCACCCTCCCAGGGTTTTCTACCCACCCACCTATCCAACCACCCAGTCACCTGTACACCCACTTACCAATCCATCCACTCACCCACCCACTCATTCCTGTATCCATCCATCCATGTACCTACCCACCCATTCATCCATCTATCCACCCATCCACTGATTCATCTATCTATCCATCCGTGCACCTACCCACCCATTTCTCTATCCATCCAACCACCCACCCATGCATCTGCACATCCATCCATCCATCTACCTATCCACCCATACCTCCATCTGTCCATCATCTCCCCAACAAGCACCTACCTATTCACCCATCCATCTATCCACCATGCACTCACCCATCCACCCACCCATTCATCCACCCATCCATCCATCCACCCACTGACCCATCCATTCATTCCTCTATCCATCCACTCATCCATTCACCCATCCACCCTCCATTCATCCAATTACCTACTCATCCATTAATCCAGCCACCCACCCCTCCACTCACCCATTCATTCCTCTATCCATTCATTTACCTACCCGCCCATTCATCCATTTATCTATCCATGTACCCATTCATCCATCCATCCAACCCACTAATCCACCTACCTAACCATCCATTCATCCACCCATCTATCCTAACATCTACCCACTGATCTACTTATTCATCTGCCCATCCATCTATCCTGCCCACCCCCTATCCCGTCAATCTTCCTATCTATCTGTCAGTTATTAAACTTATTTGCCAAATATAAATATACAATGTTAGGGTAAAGGCTCCAAGTTTTCTCTGTTACCTACCTATGCCTCTCTTTTTGTTATTATAATTACGAATGAATGTTTGAAATCTTTAAACATCTTTACTGACCCATGTGGAGTGTATTGTGGTTAATATTGTAGTCATTTAGTTTTATAGCTGCAAGTGTTGCCATCAAAAGCTTAGGCCTCTCCTTCTCTCTTCCCCCAAGACACTTCCCCACATCCCCACACACGCATAGCAGGTCTTACTTCTGAATGTTCTGTGTGGAATTTGAGCCATTGGGAGAGCTTGTGGCTTGACCTCATGGTTGAGATTCGCTGTCTTTACGGACAGGTGGGACTACTCATTTTAAAGTTAAATTTAATAAATATTTAGAAAGCATGCATCATATGCCTCATTAGCAATTTTGTTAGGCACTCTGGGAGAAACAAATAATTAAGAGCACAGAATTGTCTGGTCCGTCTGTGGCCCTTGCACTTCCGTGGGGCACTCCTTCCTCTGCACATGAGGTTCCTGGGGAGCAGTGTCATCTGCCTTATTGTGGTGGACTGCACCCTCTTTTTGGTGGGAGCTGTGGGTTCCCTTAAGTGGGAGCTGTGCCTGAGTCAGAGTCATGCTGGAAAATGTGAAGAAACCTCAGGGGTGACCAGTCCACATGGAGCTCCTGGGAAGGAGTTGTCCTGAGTTTGTAGGACCCATGTGTGCCTGGGCTGTGTGGATGCACATGTGATATCATCCTAGCCCCGCTGTTCTCGAGAGCTTATTCAGTACCAGAGATAATGGGGAGACAAGAGGTGAGACAGGCATGTGAGGGCACCCGTGTTTATTCTTGCATTGGATTCAAGTGATACCAATTTTGGGGGCTGCCTGAAGTTTTTGCTGAGTTTATTCCAGCAGGAAATAGTACTATACCTAATTAATGTTCATACAGGACTTTGCCAAGTGCTTATGGTTCTGGGCATTATTAGCATTGTCACTTTTCAAATGTGAAACCGAGGCTCAGGGAGATTCAGTGCTGTGTCAGGTCAGCCCGAGTCAAATGGCTCGGGGCCAGTTCTCAGGCCCACATCTTTGACACTGGCTCTCTGTCCGTCTCACTATGGCCCACGTATCCCTAAGAAATGTGGATAGCAGTGTTTCTCCAGAACTGGAGCAGACAGCACAATCATTTTTGCTTCGAGGGGATAGAGGCAATTGGAGTTTCACCAGCTCAGAATGGCAGCTGGTGGCCTACAGGTGAGGGGCAGGGCCCTTGCAGCTCTGCCACCTGGTCTGCACGCTGGCTGTTCTCCAGCCTCTCTTCCTCTTGGTTTTCTTGTCTCGGGTTGTTGACTTTGGCCTGGTGGAGACTAAGGGAAACAGTGTGCAGAGTGCTGAGCCTGTGTCTTGCAGAGAGCATCGCTTGGGGCTCAAAGCACTGCAGCTATTATTACTCTTTTCTAAAGACTCAGTATCTGCCTGGAATTACAAGGCAGGCACTGACAGATGTATAAGTAGATGCTCAAGAGCAAATTAAAAATGCATTGTTAAAAATGGATTCAATGTGTGAACAAAGATTGGCATGAAGGTTGGGTCCCTGTATTTTTAGAGGCTAATTAAAGTGTGCGAACAATGATAAATTCAGATAACCCATATTGTCTGAAGTCACCACAAAGCATTCACTGAAGAGCTAATTGCACTGAAGAGCAGTGCAGGCTGCTGAGGTTTGGGTGAACTGCGGCCATTGCTGACCTCAGATTCTGCCTGCTTTTGCCCATGCTGAGACCACACTTTGCCCTGGGGGGCCCTGTGCAGCCCTGGGGATCTTGCTGCTTTGGTGCCTGGTGGTGCGCATTCCAGTGCATTGCTGCAGTTCTGAGTTTGGGATAGATGGTAACACTGTCATGTTACTACATGCCACCTGTCTAAATCACTCACAGAAATCTGTGGTCAGATTTCTATAAAGTACTTGATTGGTGATGAGGAGAAAAAGAGTGATTTATGGCGTGCTGGCCCTCCAGCTATTATGCACACATTGAGGTCAGTGCCGTGTAACATGCAGATACCACAGCCCCTGTGGGTGGTGATCCAGCTGTCACGGCTGCAGTCGGTGTTAGAGTGATCAGGAGTCTGTAAGGAAATGTGATCCATGGGCTTAGAATCCGCTTTTTTGTCAGTGTCTTGGAAAATTGGCCTCCAGAGATCTACTGTGGAGGGAGCCATGTCAGAAGCTGTCTTCTGTTGCGATGTTCAGCAGACCTGGTCTGCACACCTGATTTTCCATTAGTCACACTAGAGAGGAGAACATTTGTGCTTCATAACCTCAGGGTTAAACAAACAGCCCTGCAGGTAGATCATGATCAATAACAGGAGATCTATATAAACTAGGTTAATTTTGTTCCTGAAAATCTGTAATGTCTTTTTATCTACAAGTTTTTTTTTTAAATTTCCTAATAGAACATGAGTATTAATTACACACAGACATAGTAATGGGAGGCTAATGACAAAAAAGACCTTGGGTGAACTCAAGACCTCTACACGTCATGCTTAGAAACTTATCCATTCTCACCAGACAGTCTTTGACATTCCAACCAGCTTGCTTCTTAGGTGCCAGGAGGTAGTAAGAATTACAGGTTCTGTTTTTAGGGTGGCTGCAGGATTTTAAAATCTGTATGCCCCCCACTTTCTGTCACTAAGCCACCTTTTTTTTTTTTTTTAAATAAAAAGCTTTGTTTTGAAATAATTGTAGATTTTCAGCAGAGTTACAAAGATAGTGCTGAGAGTTCCTATGTGCCCTGCTTCCCGTATTATTAACATCATATGTAATCATGGCATGCGTATCACAATTAAGAAATTAATGTTGGTAGAAAACTGCTAATGAAAACCATAGACTTGACTTCGATTTCAGTTTTTCTCTCAACTAATGTCCTCTGTTCCCAGGTCCAGCCCAGGATGCCATGTTGCATCTAACCACTGCTTTTTATTCTTTGTTCTTTAAACAATTTTATTTTTAACTTTTTATCATGGTAAAATTTTCGAATTCTGTAGTAGAGAGCATGTGAGTGGGTCCAGTTGAAGATGGCTCATTTTCAGCCATGTTCTACATGTTGCGTGAATGAAGGTATCTAGTGAGTGGCCTAGCCCTGGCAGCACCCTCCATGCACGCACGAGGCCTGCTGAGTTTGTGCCTGGCGGCGTGTTTGTCCTGCGTCTCTAGTCACTGTGTGTCTTGCTGATGGCACTCCAGAGTTGCTACTGTAAGCACCTGTGCATAAGAACTGGATGTGAGTTCCCCCGATTTCTGCTACAGTTTTCACAGGCCACAGGATTTGCTGGGGAACCCGCTCACTCTGGAGCCTTTATTCATGACTTCCAGTTGAGGTTTATTATTCAGTGTGACCCAGTGGCTCAGAAAACCTCTCCAGCTCCACACAGCCCCACTTTTTTTGAGATACCTGATTGTAAGAGCCGCTCTAAAACAAAACGTGTGACAGAAGAAAAACTGCCTTATTTCCACATCATACTTTCCCTTGGCACCCTGGGTTCAGTGTCACCAGTGACTGGATGCCTAGTGTCCTCTTTTGCCCTGGCAGAGATTTCTGTTTCTGTGCCTGTGAAAGTTATTGGCTGGTGTCGGCACAGCGATTACCCCGTAAGATGTGATGTAGCGATTGTGGAATGAACCACTGGCCTCCTAGTAGGTTTGTAAGTTTAACTGTTAACCTCCTTCATACCAAGATGTGTGAAACTCTTAGTGTTTTTAAGTGTTAACCGCTTGAGGTTATTTACATTTTAAAGTATTTTATTTAAAAAATTGACACATAATAATTGTATATATTTATGGGGTACATAGTGATGTTTTAATACATATGTGTCTGATCAGATGAGGGTAATTAGCATATCCATCATCTCAAACATTTGTCATTTCTTTGTGTTGGGAACATTCAGTATCCTCCTAGCTAATTGAAACTGTATATTATGTTACTGTTACTTATAGTCATCCTACAGTGGTATAGAACACTAGAACTCCTGTCTAGTTGTAATTTTACATCCTTTAACAACTCTCTTCCTATCCCTTTTTCCCTACAACCCTTCCCAACTTCTGCTATTCTCTTTCTACTTTTTACTTCTATGAGATCAACTTTTTACAGCATCCACACATGAGTGAGAACATGTTGTGTTTAACTTTCTGTTCCTGGGTTATTTCACTTAACATAATGCCCTCTAGTTCCCTCCATGTTGCTGCAAATGATGGCATTTCATTTATATGGTGAACTGGTACTTCATGGTGTATATATTCCACATTTTCTTTATCCACTCCTCTGTGGTGGATCACCTAGGTTGATTCTGTATCTTGGCTATTGTGAATTAGTGCTGCAGTAAACATGGGGATGCAGGTGTCTCTTTGATATCCTGATTTCCTTTCCTTTGGGTAAATGCTGAGTAGCAGGACTGCTGGATCTTATGGGAGTTCTAGTTGTAGTTTTTAGAGGAACCTCCATACTGTTCTCCGCTGGCAATGTGTAACAGTTCCCTTTCTCTGTATCCACACCAGCACTTATTTCTTGTCTTTTTGATAGTAGTCATCTTAACTGGGGTGAGATGGTACCTCATTGTGGTTGTGATTTGTAGTTCCCTGGTGATTAGTGATGTGCATTTTTCATATATTAATATTTGTTAACCATTTGTATGTCTCCTTTTGAGAAATGTCTGTACTCAAATTTGCCCATTTTAAAATTAGATCTTTTTTTCTGTTGAAACGTTTGAGTTCCTTGTATATTTGGTGTATTAATCCTCCATCAGATGCATTGTCTGCAGATATGTCCTCTAATTCTGTAGGTCATGTTTTTACTCTGTTGATTGCTTCTCTTGCTGTGCAGAAGCTTTTAGGTTCCATATGGGATATAATCCCATTTGATCATTTTTGCTTTTGTTGCCCCTGCTTTTGGAGTCTTATTTATAAAAATTTTCCCCAGACCAATGTCTTGAAGTATTTCCCTTGTGTTTTCTTCTAATAGTTTTATAGTTTAGTGTCTTGCATTTAGGTCTGTGATGCATTTTGAGTTGATTTTTGTATATGGTGAGAGGTAGGGGTCCAGTTTTATTCTTCTGCATATGGATAGAATTTTCCCAGCGTGATTTATTTTTTATTTTACCTTCAGGGGTACATGTGCAGGATGTGCTGGCTTGTTACATATAAGTAAATGTGCCCAGCACCATTTATTGAAGAAAATGTCTTTAATGAGCGTTCTTGGCCTCTTTGTGAGAAATCAGTTGGCTGTGCATATGTGGATTAATATCTGGCCTCTTTATTCTGTTCATTGGTCTGTGTATCTGTTTTTATGCCAGTGTCATGATGTTTTGGTTATTACAGCTTTGTAGTATATTTTGAGGTCTGGTATGTGCCATCTCCAGTTTTGTTCTTTTTGCTCGGGATTGCTTTGGGTATTTGGGGTCTTTAATGATTCCATATGAAACTTTGGCTTTTTGTTCTATTTCTGTGAAGAATGCCATTGGTATTTTGGTACTTAATAGAAGGGAAGAAGTAAAGATAAGGGAAGAAATAAATGGAATTCAGACAAAAAGATACAAAGATCAATGAAACAAAAAGTTGGATTTTTGGAGAGATAACAATACTGACAAACCACTAACTAGACTAAGAAAAAAGAGAAAATACCCAAATAAATAAAATCAGAAATGAAAAAATGAAACATCATAATGGATACCAGAGAAATATAAAGAATCATTAGAGAATGTTATGAATAACTATGTGCCAATAAAGTAAAAAACCTAGAGGAAGTGGCTAAATTCCTGGACATATACAGCCTACCAAGATTGAGCCACGAAGAAAAAGAAAATCTGGACAGACTAGTAATGAAGTTGAATCACTAATGAAAGTCTCCCACAGAAGAAAAGCCTAGGACTGGATAGCTTCATTGCTGAATTATACCAAACCTTTAAAGAAGAATTAATACCAGTTCTTTTCAAACTATTCCAAATCAATATAATCAGGGATAATTTTTCCTGACTTATTCTATTGAGGCCAGTATAACCCTGATATCAAAAGCAAATAAGAACACAACAAATAAAACCACAGGTCAATATTCCTAATGAACATAGATGCAAAAATCCTGCATGAAATAATAGCAAATCAAATCCAGCAACAAATCAAAAAAATAATACATGATGATTGAATGAGATTCATCCCAGGGATGCAAAGATGGTTCAGTATACACAGATCAATAAATGTGATACATCATGACAGAATGAAGGACGAAAATCATACGATCATCTCAATAGATGCAGAAAAAGCATTTGATAACCTTTAGCATCCGTTCATGATAAAAACTCCCAATAAACTGGGTACAGAAGGAATGTACCTCAACACAATAAGGCCTATATATGACAGATCCACAGCTAACATCATACTAAATGAGGAAAAGCTGAATGCATTTCCTCTAAGAGCTGGAACAATTAAAGAATGCCCACTCTTACCACTCATATTCAACGTGTACTGAAAGTCCTAGCCAGAGCAGTTAGGCAAGAGAAAGAAATAAAAGGCATCCAAATTTGAAAGGAGGAAATCAGATTATCCTGATTTGCAAATGACATGATCTTATATAGAGAAAAACCTGAAGACTACCAAAAAACTCAGAACTGGTAAATGAATTCAGTAAAGTTGCAGGATACAAAATCAACATACAAAAATCAGTATTGTTCCTATAGACAAACAACTGATGAAAAAAAATCAAGATGGCAATTCCATTTGCAGTAGCTTCAACAAAATTTAAAATACCTAGGGATAAACTTTACCAAGGAGATGAAGACCTCTACAAGGAAAACTGTAAAGCACCAGTGAAAGAAATCGAAGAGGACCCAAACAAACGGAAAGTCATCCCATACTCATGGGTTGGAAGAAGTACTGTATGGTTCAGATGACCATACTGTCCAAAAAAATCTACAGCTTCAATGAATCCTCTATTTACATTTTAAGGAGATGATATCTTGAAGAAAAATTGCTTATTCCAAGTGCAGAGTTCTTCACTTGTGGCCCACTATTGAGGAGGCTAGGATGGTTTTCTCCTTGGTCTTCAAAATAAGTTAGTCATGTATACGGAAACTCAACCTTCATGACTAAAAGAAGCAAATTGAAAAAAATGTTATTTGTATGGTTCTATAGATATGTGATTGTTTGGAGAGGACTTGGGTCCTTCAAGGAGAAACAGTCTGCATTGGAATGTCTCCTTGTATTAGAATCTCTCTATCACCAGCTTCATTTTTTTTTTTTTAAACAGAATCTCACTCTTTCACCAGGTGGAGTACAATGGCATGATCTTGGCTCACTGCGATCTCTGCCTCCTGGGTTCAAGTGATTCTCCTGCCTCAGCCTCCCAAGTAGCTGGGATTACAGGCACCTGTCACCACACCTGGCTAATTTTTGTATTTTTAGTAGAGATAGGGTTTCACCATGTTGGTTAGGCTGGTCTCAAACTCCTGACCTCAGGATCCACTCACCTTAGCCTCCCAAAGTGCTTGGATTACAGGCGTGTACCACTGTGCCTGGCTTTCATTAAGTTTTTAGTGAAAACTTGATGTCATTGCTGAAGCTCAAATGCAGACACACAGTCATGCCTTCCACAGTTATTCATTGTGCACACTTGTCCAGGTGCACTGCTAGATGCTGAGGACCCAGTGTGGGCTGCAGCCCCTGTCTGATCAGGTGACTGACCTCAGGCAGCCTTTGATGCTCAAATGATGAACTTCCAGTTGCTTAATGTTTTTACTGTTACAGCTAGAAACAGTAAGACCGATGACGAGGTTGGTGCTGCAGCTGCACCTTGGGAACTCAGTGGTACTCCCCACTGTATTGGGCATGGTGGGACTGCTGCAGATGTGATGGATGACAAAGAGTCCTGCCAGTGTGAGAAACAAAGATGTTCTTTGCTTATGTGAGATCAAGGCTTTCTTTCATGTGACATGCAGAACCAGCCTCACTTGCCATTGGCCCTCCACGTCCATAGCTGTTTCTGTGCAGGGATGTCTGGCTCTGAGCCCTCTGCAGAGCAGTGTTGCGCTGTTCCTAGAATAGTGTTCATGTAGTCTTATTAGCTTTTGCTTCTCTTTGTGTCTTGTCGTTTTGCTGGTTTTCCAAACCATTAGCTGTGCCATGAGGCTTTCGTGAGCAGATGGCATGAGACAGGTGAGTGCTGGCATGGAAACCGGGGCAGCGGGGGTCCATGGTTCAGGCCTGCCCCACTCTGGGCGCCCTGTCTCTGCTCCTGCTCCCAAGTCCCAGTGATTTTCTCCACCAGCCTGGGCTCCAGCTGCAAATGTGTAATCACATTGCCTGGGTTCCAATCTCTAAGGAGCCTGGTGGTGGTGGCCATTTTCAGCCATGGTGCACTGTCAGGACCCAAGAGGGTGACAGGAGAAGGCAGGAGGTGAGGAGGAGTGTCATACGTGGGGCAGGGGTTGTGAGCCTGGAGACCGGGGGACCCTCTCCCGGAGCCTTGCTGTGACTGGCCGTGGTGGGGAAGCTGGATGCATTTGCAGGACACCAGCATGAATGTGCTCAGGCTGTTGACTGAAGGGTGTTGCTCACTCTTTTTTAAGAAGGATGATATGCATCTAGGAAGAGTAATATTTTAAGTCTTTTTTTCCTTTTCTGCACCCCTACTTGAGGGAACTCCAAAGGCTGCAGGGTAAATGAGCCTGTTAGGATGGCCAAGAGCTCTTAGGCTGATTTAGTACTTGTGGGCAGGGCCCCTTTCCGGATTGATTATGACACATAGTGCTAATGGGGAGGATTTGTAGCGGGAGGTACAGTATGTGTTACCCTTTGAGTTCTGCAAATGAGGTGGGTAGAGGAAGGAATGCATTCAAAGAAAATGGAAAGTGGAATTCAGAATAATCTTTCTGATATTCTCTTAAAGGCACAATGATCAGAACGTACCATATTGAATTTCCTTTCATTAGAAGTGAGCATAGGTTCTGTGGATTGGAGCATCTCTGACACAGGCTGTACTCATCCTTTGGCCCTCGGGTGTCACTGCACAGGAAGCTGCTGGGTGAGTTTTGATAACAAATCTCATGGCAGGACAGTGGCGCCCCCACCCCTTGCATGCTTGCCTGCCCTCCAGGCCGATACTCACTGAGTGCCCAGTGTGTGCCCAGCCCTAGAGCTGAGGCCATAGAAGGCATTGTGCTTGGGGGCTTGCTGTGACACGGGGGATCCCAGGAATCCAATACTCCGATGAGTCAATCATACCTGCCACTGGGAGAGAGTGCTGGCAGAGAAGCATAAATGCTGGAGATTCCACCGAGGGGAAGCTTAGGGATTTCTGAAGGCAGGTGATGGAGTTGATGGTTGCACATGGATAGATGGTGTCACGTTGTGAAGGCAGAAGAACCTCTCTGGATGGAGGGCAGAGCCTGAGGCCTGGGGGAGGCAGGGAGCTTTGCAGGCCCAGGGCTGATGGGGTGAGGAGTGAGGGTCCCCAGGTGGGTTCTGAGTTTTCTTTTCTGAGACTGAGTGGGAGTTTACAGGCCTTGGGGAACCACTGGAGTGTTTTCAGCAGCAGTGACAGGGTTTGTTTGCACTGGGCCATGGTCTGGAGACTTGGCAGAGTCGGGGTGGGAGGAGTTTCCCCGGTGTAGCCAAGGAGGGCTGGCACAGACAGAGAGGGTCCGACCTGTTGAAGGTCACTCAGCTGACCATGGCATAGCTGGACTTACAGTGCCAGCAAACCTCCGTGCTTCTCTTTCCAGGAAGTTCAGTGGCATCCTTCTGTTCATGGTGGTTACGGAATTGGCTATGTCCCTACTCTGACCTAGAGTGAGCCTCAAGAAACAAATATGTCCACCTGTGTTCAACAAATTAAACATGTAAAAGAACACACTTGGTGTGGTGGCTGACACCTGTAATCTCAGTGCTTTGGGAGACTGAGGCAGGAGGATCACCTGAGCCCAAGAGTTTAAGACTAGCCTCGGAAATGTAGGGAAACTCTTGTCTTGACAAAACCCCACAAAATTAGCTGAATGTAGTGGCGCTTGCCTGTGGTCCCAGCGACTTAGGAGGATGAGGCATGAGAATCTCTTGAGCCCAGGAGGCAGAGGTGGCCGTGAGCTGAGATCACACCACTGCATGCTAGCTGGGCAACAGAGCAAGACCCTGTCTCAAGAAAAGTTAAATAACAGAAAAACCCAGTTCTTTTTATTTAATAGGGCACTGAGACTAAAACAGTAATCCTCATATGAAATGATAGTAGAAAATATCAGAAAGATATGTGTCAGGGCGTACATATGCATTCAGTGAGAACAAGGCCAGCTTCCTTCACTCACTCAATGCCCCGAAGAAAGGCCTGGTGCACAGGGTTGGCATGGAGGGTTTGTTGAATGAATCCATGAACAAATGATTGAAGCTGTGAGAGCTTGAGAGTAAGGGGCAGACACACAACCAGGGTGTTTGGCTTCAGTAGATAACTTCCAGAGCCCCTCCTGTGTGCTGGGCACAGGGGCTACAGACAGATGCTCAGCCCCTCTGGGATGCTCCACACCCAAGAGGTGCTGCAGGATACACAGTGGGAGCTCCTCCTGGCCTAGGGTCTGTGCTGGGAGAGGCAGAGGCAGACCAGGGAAATGTTCCACTTTCAACAAAGAGTGGGGTTTGAAGTCAGAGTGGGGTATTGGGGTCAGAGAAGGTAGCATTAAGCAGGCAGTGACCATGTGGGTACGGGGGAAGTTTCTAGGCTGAGGAAACTCTGTGCAAAGGCTGTAAGTAAGAGGCTGCTGGGAGTGGTCAAGGCCACATGACTGGAGAGTAGCAAGGGGTGCAGAGGCCACATGTGCACATGTGTGTACATACAGGCATGTGTGAACATGTGTGCGTGTGTGTGAGGTCCCATAGGGCCCAGGGCTCCAGGTAGAATGGGTGCCCTTCCAGTTTGGAGCAGAACAGTGTCTGGGTGTAGCTTTCCAGAGGGTCAGGGCCTCTGGGGAATAGACCACAGTGGAGGCCCAAGGGAAAAGCGGGAGCCACAGGGGTTGCTGCAATGTTGAGGTCCTCAGGTCAGGGCTGTGGGGTGCTAGGAGTGGAGGAGGGACCAGAGGATGCATTGAGGTGGAGAGCTGGCTGAGGGAGATGCGGTGTCTCTGAGTGTCTGCCTGAGCACCTGGAGTTCCATTTTATCAGGGCTAGGATAGCTAGGGAAGGGACAGCTTCGATCATTGCTTTTATTGTGAGAAGACAATTTGTCATTAGCATTAGTGTTATTTTGGCATGACTTTTATCACTCCTGTTCATCATGATCTTGTTTCTGTTTAACTTTCGTGCTTGCTAGCCTTTTAGAAAATGACACACCACTTATTTAGGATATTATATGTTAAGTGTTATTTAGAAATCAAACTGAATTTCTTTCCAAGAAAGACTCGATGTAAAGCACGTTGATTCCCTGGGGAAACAGGTTCTGTGTGTACACAGGTTTTGTTGCCCTATTATTCTAGGGAAAATGAGACAGTGATTATATATGTTGACAGGACTCAGGTCACGAACCGCTCTGGATGTGGGGGGTGGCTTGCGTGAATCTCAAAGCATCCTCCTGCTATTTGAGGTGAGTCATCTCCATGTTGGGAGTAGAAATTGCTCTTCTTTTAAAATAGGTCCCTTTCTTGGCTCTGTCTCTGAGTCATCCTCCTGGGGTCACAGATCACCCACATGGGCACAGGTTAGGAATGTGCTTTCAGCCTCAGCTGTTCCCCCATCAAAATCTGCCTTTTAACAAGATCCGAGAGGATTCTTGTGCACCTTAAAGTTTGGGAAATACTGAGTTAGGACAGTTTCAAGACTTTCTGAGGACTTCTTGCTTTGGGATCAGCATTTTACTAGGGCAGCTGGGTTTAAATCCTAGGAATGCCAGCAGGTGTGTAGGACTGGTGTGAACAGTGCTGAGTACTTGGGTCACGTTACGGATAGACCCCACCAGCATCCTGCAATCTGGCATCCCATGGGTGTTTCCATAGAAAGCCCTTTGAAAATGAGAGCCCTGGTAAACTGGTGTATGCTGGTGTGGGTCAAAAGGAAAGGGTCAAAAGCAGAGGTTAGGTGAATGGAGGGAGCCCAGGTGCATCAGTGCCCAGCGGGGCAGGTGTGTGTGCCTGGGAAGGAAATCTGTGCTGTTGCAATGAAGTCGCTGTTTGGTGGAAGTTAGTGCACTTATTTGGAAAATATTGCCCAAAGAGCTCAGCTCAGAACTGTCTGTTGCCTTTTCCTTAAACATTTCTCTTGTCAGAGTGATGAGAAAATTGCCTGTGTGGGAACTTGAGAAGTGCAAATTTGTTAATACCTCCTTTGACAATGGTTTGTATTCAGAGCTGTTTATGAGCTGTCACAAATCATTTCCAGTTAAAACGTTTCTGCTGTGGAGTCACGCCATGCTGGAGGGTCTGGGAGGACGGTGGCGCACAGCCTTGTGCCCTGGCTCAGACAGGCTCGAGCCTGCGTGTCGCGGATCTGGTTTTTAAGCTGGTGAACTGAATTGTGGAGAATAAAAATGGCCTGGTTCCTGTGGAAAAGTTCTGCTTTGAAAATTTTCTTCCTTTTAATGATCTTTAGAAGCCGGGTGTCAAGGCCTAAGTGTGAGATTTCGCCATTCTTTTGATGGCTGGGATAGAGAGGAATTCAGTGCCAGTCCTTTCGTTCTGTAATGATGATGTTTTTGAGATTTGGGGATGACAATTTTGGCTCATCACTGTCGGGACATGGACATGTGGTTACTTTTCCATGAGCAAGGGTGGGTTTCCCTGATGCACCTGCCCTATCCATCCATGCTATGCTCATGGCAGGCATGTGCAGGTTGGCAGCCTGGGCTTTAGAGTGCTGCCTGCAGCCTGGACTGTGAGACACTGAGTGACCATATAGGGGACGATTTTATAGGCCTGGATGCTTTATAGCCGTGGCTTTCACCTGGGGGTGATTTGTCCCCCAGAGGTCATTTGACAATGTCTGGATACATTTTTGGTTGTCACAAGTGGGAGGTAGGAGGTGCTCCTGGCATCTAGTGGGAAGAGACCAGGGATGCTGCTAGACTGCCTGCAGTCCACTGGACAGACTCATCAGAAGGGTTTGTCCAGCCCAATGTGTCTGTCATGCCCAGGTTGAGAAACCCTGCTTTAACAGTAGTGACAGTTTGGATAGATGGATAATGGTAAAGATGAGGAAATATGCAATGGCGTCGGGTGCAGTGGCTTATGCCTGTAATGCCAGCACTTTTTGTGGCTGAGACAGAAGGATCACTTGAGCCTAGGAATCGGAGGCTGTGATCACACCACTGCACTCCAGCCTGGGCAATAGAGCAAAACCCTATCTCAAAAGAAAGAAGAAAGCATACAATGGCCAGGTAGTGGTTGAAAAGATGTCAGATCACCAATGTCTGATTCCATTTTTTTTGTTTCCCATTTATTTGTTTAGTATTCAGAAAATAAATTCCACTGTCCAAAATCCACTTTTTCCAAGACAGTTGAAAAGTTTTAAATTCTAAATAGTCAGACCACTTCAGTAGGCACCCTTACTTTTCTTCTATGCTCCCAGAGTATTTTGTTTGACGAAGAATGTTAGGATTTTCTTTGTTAAGTTCCTGATTTGTCTTAATCAGCGAATTCTATGAAATATTTTTTTTGTTGTTGTTGTTAGCATTAAAATGGAATCTGCTAATGAATGGCCACTGGGAACAATGGTGACAACACTTGAAATGAGATGCATTTATTTGAAGACTTTTTTGGTTGTGGATTTGGCTATTTATTTTATTTTTGCTTTTATGATTTTAAAATTCATATTTCTTTAAGCAAATGTTTAGAGATGACAAGAGGGAAACTCAGAGAGTGAAATAATCTATTGAGTGTAAACTGAAGATTAAATTCTTTTTCAGAATTGTCCTTCCTTCCTTTTTTTAACTGGGCCCCTTAAAAGCTTTTTTTTTTTTTTTTTTAATTTTGTATTGGATTTTAGGTTTTGGGGTACATGAGCAGAGCATGCAAGACAGTTGCGTAGGTACACACATGGCAGTGTGCTTTG